AGTGAGGAGATGGGCCCTCCTCTCCAGGTCACAGGGTCACGTCCGCTGGAGGACGCGGGACACTGAGGGCCCGTCAGCACCAGTCGGGACACGGCAAGGACGCTCCCCACGCCCAGTGCACACCAGGGAGCTCAGGAGGCTGCCGCCCCCGGGGCCGCCCAGCTGCCCTTTGAGCCCCGCCTGGTCGGCCTGTCCGCGGAAACACCCGCATGTTTCTGGCCCCTCGTGTGGCGTCTGCTCTCAGGCAGCTGTGGCTGGGCTGGGGCCTGGGGTGACCTCTGTGGGGGGGCTCTGGGGACCTGGGTGGTTGTCTCTGTCCTCGTGGTCAGAGCCAGTTTCTGGGGTGCAGACGAGACCCCCAGCGTTCAGGTCCTCCGTGCGTGGTGACGACACGGCGGCGCCATCCTTCCCGCAGACAGCGGCCTCTCCGGGGTGTGTGTGGGCGGCCACCAAGCAGGGCGGCCCCTGCGGCTCCCTCCCAGGGCTCCCTCGGGGTTCCGGAGCCTTCCGCCTGGGTCCCTGTCGAACGCACCTGCCACAGGGGGACGTGTGTGTGCGGGAGCGTGGTCGTGGTGACCGGTCCACGTGCGCCTGCCACCGCTTGGAGTGATGGTGGCCTGAGCCACAGTGGGGCCGCTGACCCACTGGGTGCTGGTCAGAAGGCCAGCCAGGCACCTGGGGCGGGGGCGGGTTCACACGGCATCCGCTCTGTCCCCTGTCCCCGCCTCTGCAGGCCCTCAGAGCAAACCCCACTGACAAACAGAGACTCAGCCATTAGACGCAAGGCTGGCGCTGTTCCCCGGCTCCGGGTGGTCCCCGGATCTCTGGGGCGGGGGCCAGTGGGGGAATGCGGTCAGAATGGTCCCCTCCACCCACCCTCAGGTGGGACGGGGTTGTCCCACAGTGGAGGCCTGGCGAGTCCTGGCCCTGGAGCAGGGCTGCGGGCTGCCTGCGGGGCCTGACCTAAGGCACAGTGACCTTTCTTTACAAGGATCCTATTATTCTAGCCTGAAGGCAGGAGGCCGCTGGGGGAGGGGCCGGCTGGGAAGGCAGCTCGCATGGGGGAGGGGCCGGCAGTGTGCACCTGGAGTGGGGCTGGGGTGGGCTTCGCACCTCCTCTCACTGGTCAGGGAGCTTGTCACCTGCCAGGTGCCCACACCAGGGCGCCAGCTCCGGGGTGGGAGCTAGCTGGGCGGGGCAGAGCCTGACCCGCACCCCGGCTCTGAGCAGCACCCAGTGGACCCATAGGCTGGGTGCTCGGCTTGCACTGGGCGGGAGGGGCCGAGCTGGGGTCAGAGCCGACTCCCTCTTGTGCTCTCCCCTCGTCCCCCCTCTATCCAGGTGGCCCAGGAACCTCCGTCCAGGTGGCTGCTGGCTCAGCCAGGGGTCTGTGTCCTCCTCTGTCCTGCCCTGTCCTGTGGGACCGCAGCTTCCACAGGAGACCAGTCACCAGGCGCCCTGGGCTCCAGCTCCGGGGTCTGCAGGCCTCAGGCCGTCCATCCCCTGCCTCCTGCGGTGCCTGGAGGCCCGGGCCGTATTCCTGGCTGCAGGGGCTCTCTCATCCCTGGGCTCCAGCTCCGGGGTCTGCAGGCCTCAGGCCGTCCGACCCCCTGCCTCCTGCGGTGCCTGGAGGCCCGGCCGTATTCCTGGCTGCAGGGGCTCTCTCATCCCTGGGCTCCAGCTCCGGGGTCTGCAGGCCTCAGGCCGTCCGATCTCCTGCCTCCTGCGGTGCCTGGAGGCCCGGCCGTATTCCTGGCTGCAGGGGCTCTCTCATCCCTGGGCTCCAGCTCCGGGGTCTGCAGGCCTCAGGCCGTCCGACCCCCTGCCTCCTGCGGTGCCTGGAGGCCCGGCCTATTCCTGGCTGCACCGGGCTCTCATCTCCACTGCACCGCGTGGGGGTGGTGGGTGGCGGGTGGCCCGACACGAGCCTCCCCGGCTTATGGGGGAAGTCGGCCCCAAACGACCCTGGACAGCTCCCTGAGGCTCCTCCCTGACCCGCACAGCAGGAGGAAGGAAGCCCAGGTCTGTGCTGTGAGCTGTCGACACTCACACTGCAGCACGTCCCTGCTCCTCATGCGAGGAGACGCAGGGGACAGACAGACAGAGCTGGCGTGGGGGGGGGGGGAGCTAACAAAGAATTACTGAATGTAAAGAGAACACCCCAGGGACGTCCAGTGTTGTGGGGACTCCCACTGTGTGAGAAACGAGGAGCAGCCACCCTCTGGGAAGTGACATTTACGCTCGGCGGGAATTGTGGGATTCGAGACGCCCCAGCCGCTGGAGATGAGGGCGAGGGCACTGGGGGGGGGGTGTCCTGAGCAGAGGCCCTTGGGAGTAGTAAGCTTGGCGTTTTCAGGGAGCTTAGGGTGAACTGCTGGGGCAGAGGGGTGACAGCGAGGCAGGTGGGGGGTTGGAGGAGCAAGCTGGGGAGCGGAGAGCCCCGAAACCGCAGGAGACAGGCAGCGAGGAGCCACGGGGAGATGTGACCTGGACTTAGCTTTGCCATGGACAGAAAATGTCCCCCCTTAGCCCCGCTGAGATAACCCGTCCATCAGCCCGCAACGGTGGCCACGGGTGGGCACTGGGAAGACCAGGGGCGCGTGTCAGCGAAACCCTGAATGAGAGGTGCCGCCCTCCCGGTCTGAGCCGATAGCTTGCAGGGGCCCTGGGCTGGGGGTGGCAGCAAACAGAGGGGACATTCGCTGTACACCCCTGTATTGCGTTCTAACTGGGGGGGGGTCTGTTCCATGCCGTCCATGCAGTCATTTGAATGTCAATTCTGACATGTGTGATAGTTGGACAAACAGGAAGGAAGGGGGGAGGGAAGAAAGGAAATCAGGCTGCTTGGGGGACTGGCTAGAGAGTTATGGCAGGAGGGGAAAGGGGTTTGGATGGGTGAGATGGTGCAGAGATGGAGGATAGGCAGATGGGCATGGATGGACGATGGGTGGATGATGGGTGGGTGGCTGCATGGATGGTGGATGAATAGAGGGATGGATGATGGGTGAGTGGTAGGATGGTGGATGGGTGGATGGGTGAGTGGATGATGGATGTATGGATGATGAATGATGGATGGGTGGATGATGGGTGGATGATGGGTGGATAGATGGACTGATGATGGATGGATGGGTGGTGGATGGATGGATGATGGGGATAGATGGGTGGATGGATAATGGGTGGTGGGTGGATGGATGGATGATGGATGGATGATGGATGGATGGATGAGTAGTTGAGTCGATGGATAATGGGTGGTGGGTGGGTAGACGGGTCATGGGCAGGTGTTGGATGAGGTTAGTGGATGGCCTAAAGTATGGGAAGATAGATGGGTAGGCAATGGGAGGAGAGGTGACGAATGGGTGGATGGGTGGTGGATGGATGGATGATGGATGGATAATAGACGGATGATGGGGATTGATGAGGGGATGTGTAATGGGTGGGTGGGGGATGGGTACTGGGTGGTAGGTGATGGTGGGAGGATAGGAATGGGTGGTAGGTGGTAAATGGGGTGGGGGGATGGGTAATGGGTGGTGGGGGATGGATGGGGGATGGGAATGGGTGGGGGGATGGGTAATGGGTGGTGGGGGATGGATGGGGGATGGGAATGGGTGGGGGGTGGGGGTGGGGGGATGGGTTCACAATCAATCCAGCTTGGCTCAAGCACAGGCCAATTAGCTGTGTGACTTTGGGCCAAATCCCCACCTCTTAGAAACCAGCCCCCCCACCCCTACACCCTCTGAAAATGGCGAAAGGAACAAGCTCAGCCAGCTGACAGGATAGTGACGGGGAGAGAGGGACGGCCGGCCCAGCTGCAGCCGTGGGGCCCCTCGCTCTGACCCCAGGCAGTGCCTGAGGAGGTTGGGCCTGTGGAGGGAGGAGCCCTCCAGGCCTGGCGCCCTGGGCCACCCGCCCACTCCTGAGCCCCTCCCAGTCCGCCCACCTGATCCGTCGCAGCAGGGAAGGCCTGTGTCCCCACCCACCCAGGAAGGCCGGGGCCCTGGAAGAAAGTGGGCCATTGTCCTGGGCTTGGCAGGACGCCACCTGCCCACCCCAGGAGGTGGCAGGCGGCCGCCCTGCGCCTGGGGAGCGTCGTCAGTGGGCCTTTCTGGAGCATGTCCTCTGGAGGGGACAGACCCCGGCATTAGGAACCGGTTCCTCGCTCTTCAAACACACACAAGCTGTCACCACGATTTTCTCATCTCGAAAACCGGCTGACGTCGTTGGGGACAGTACCATCGGGGACAAAACAGCCCCAGCCCTGCTGGCGGTAGGGCTGTTTGGGGACAGTGAAGAGAAGGGACTGTGCCGTCCTGGGTGGGTGGGGAGGAGACAGACCCGCCGCCAGCCCCGGGCGGGCAGGAGGGCGGCCGTCGGTCGGTCGGTGCTGGGAGGCAGACAGGCAGCTCGGCGGGAGTGAGCCTGAGCCCGCACGCGTGACCGGGTGCACACCTGCGCCTCCTCCCCGTGTAAGGCATTTCGGATACCGGCAGGCGGGGCGGCTAGACCGGCAGCGGGCGGGCGGGCGGGGGTCACGGGCGGGTCAGCTGCGCCAGCCGCCACAGCTCTCCGGTTGCCGTCACCTGCGTCCCTCTCTGCAGCTCGGGGCTGCCGGCCCGAGTCGGTGCCTGTTCCTCGCGGGGCTCTGTCTCCAGGGACGGCAGGTGATGCCCAGTGTGCGTCCGTCGGTGCCCACCTCGGCCACTCGGCTGGGGCCAGGGTTTCACAGAGCCAACTCGGAGCTGGGGCTCGGGCTGGGGTCCCCAGCGCAAGTCAGTGGCCACCTCTGTGACCGGCTGTTCTGGCCCGGCCGTCACGGTGCCCCTCCTGGCCTGGACAGCGGCCCCCCTGCTGGCCTGCAGCCCCTCTGGGATGTCCCCTGGTGTAAGATGGGGTGGCCCCTGCCACTCAGCCCGATTTGCCGCACGGTGGGAGGATCCCCCCCCCACCCGAGCCATCTGGTCCCCTGGGGAGGTGTGACCCCATGCTCTCCTCCATCTTTCCAGAAGCCCCCCGGCGCCCACACCATGAAGGAGGAGGCCTTTCTGCGAAGACGCTTCTCACTGTGCCCGCCTTCGGCTGCCCCGCAGAAGGCCGACCCCCAGAGGCTCACCCGGAACCTGCTCCTCGGGGGGGAGAATGAGCTCTGCCCTCTCAGCCCAGGTCGGTGCCCCACAGTCCTGTCAGCTGGGGCGTGGGCGGGGCAGTGCGGGAGCTGGACCCCGGCTTTGCGGCCCGAGGACGTGACCCCAGGCAGGTCCCCGTCCCTCTCTCTGCCGGCTGGGTCTGTGAGGGCCACGGCCTCGCTCCCGCCCCCCAGCGCTGGGCACTGTGCGGGGCTCACGGCAAAGGGTTTGCAGAGTAGTGAAGTACCACCACCCGCGGGCCAGGTGCAGCCCCGGTGGCCTCGGAGGTGGAGCGGGGTCTCGGGGGCAGTTGGTCACCCCGAGAGGCAGTGTGCGCGCTGGTCCCACGCACGGGCTCCCGCCTGGCTGATGCTAGGCCTGCGGCAGGACCTCTCTAGCCTGTTCCCTCGTCTGTAAAACAGGTAGTGTTGGCACCTGCCGCTGGCCGCAAAGGACTCCCGGGCTCCGGGAGGGGACAGTTCAGACCAGGGTGCTCTGTGTAGCTTGTGGGTGAAGCATCCAGCACACGGGTCACCTGCCCGGCTGCTGCTTGCCACCCAGGCCCCCAGCCCCTCGCCTCGTTCTCTGGCCCCACCCAGCAGAGCCGAGCAGGGACTGTACCCAGGGAGCCCAGCCCTCCTCCCTGGTGCCCATCTGCCTTGGGAGACCCCCTGTGCCCCGGCCTGGCCTGCTCCAACCCACCCGCCCCTCCCCACACCTGCTCTGGGGGTGAGGAGAGAGGAGCCTGGGGGGACAGCAGGGCCTGTCAGGCCCACCAGCTCGCAGGACTCAAGGGGCTTCTGGGGCCCCTCCCATCCAGGCCTCATCAAGCACCTGGGAAACTGGGGCCTCGGGGGTGCGCACAGCGGGCCAGGGGTGCCTGCCGCCTGGGAAAGTGAACCCGGCACCTGTTCTCGGTCCCAGTTTCAGAGGGATTTGGTGCCCTGGCCGCAGGGGGCGCTGGCCCCGGCTCCTCCCAGCCCAGCTGGGCTGTGTCCCCTGGGCTGCCGCTGGGAAGCGCCCCTTGGAAATGGAGGGGACCCCTGTCATGCTCACATCCGGCCCGGACTTTGGAGACTTTGGGGCGGGGCGTGGAAGGTGCTGCTGTTCCGCCCCCTCACCAGGTGCAGTGCAGGGTCCCGTCCTCTGGCCCCGCCCCCCGCCCGCCGAGGCCTGTGGTGGTGTCCTCGCCACCACACCAGGGTGACTTCCTCCTGCCCAGAAACCGTTGCTCAGGGAACCTGCTTTATATCAAACGGGCCTGGGAAGGGCAGCTGCTACCTGAGGCCCCCTCCCTGCTCAGCCCAGCTGGAGAGGGACAGACACGCTGCAGCGTGCAGGGAGGCTGTGCCCTGGTCCCTCCCAGTCAGCCCTCGGGGGCCATGGGATTCGGGAAGGGGAGGCGGGCCCGTGTCGGAGCCTGGACGCTGCACCCTTCATCCTCACCCCAGGGGCTCGCCTGCCCCAGCGCCGAGCGCCCGGGCTCCTCCCTGCAGCTTCAGGAGGCCTGGCCAGCGCTCCCCGTGCCTCCCTGGGTGACATCCCTCCCAGCTCTAACGGTGATGCTGACTGTTGTTGATTACATCTGTCGGGCAGTGTCCTACAGCCGCCGCCACCTCAGATTGGCTTCCTGCCCCGCCCAGGCGGCCTGCCACACTAGGGGAGCCAGCCAGAGACGCCGGGCCCGCCATGCGCCTCACCCCGACTCTCTTGCAGGGAAGGACATGGAGCCCAATGGCTCGTCGCTGCCGAGGGATGAAGGGCCCCCGACCCCTGGCTCTGCCACGAACTTGCCACCGGTAAGTGCCTGACCTGGGGAGGACCCAGGGCAGAGAACCTGCCAGGGGACACCAGGAAGTGGCGGGAGGAAGGGGACCCGGGCACCGGCTGCACCTGTCCTTCCCAGCCCACGGCACGGGGCCCGCGTGGAGTCCCGGACCGAGTCCAGGGAAGGCTGCTGGAACAGGGCGGGGCCCAGTCGCAGCTTGCTGGTCAGTTGCTGGGTGAAGGCCACCCTCTTGGTGTGACACGGGGTGGAGCCTGGCAGGGAGCCAGGGGAAGGGTGGGCTGCTGGGTGGCATTCGGGGACAGAAAGCCTAATGAAAGGTGGCCTTTGTCCCAGGGAAACCCACTGAGATGTGAGCCTCCTCCCTCAGCCCTGGTGCCTTCCCTCTGCGGGGCGCCCTCTGCGGGGGAGCGGAGTGCTGGCAAGGGGCACACACTGACACACACACACACACACACACACACATGCTCTCAACTACACACACGCTCTCAGCTACACACACGCTCTCAACTACACACACGCTCTCAACTACACACACACGCTCTCAACTACACACACACGCTCTCAGCTACACACACGCTCTCAACTACACACACGCTCTCAACTACACACACGCTCTCAGCTACACACACGCTCTCAGCTACACACACGCTCTCAACTACACACACGCTCTCAACTACACACACACGCTCTCAACTACACACACGCTCTCAACTATACACACACACTCACACACTCAACTACATACATGCACACAAAATGCTCTCAGCTACACACGCACACACTCACACATACTCTTACACACACTCACGCACACATGGGGCAGCCCCTCTCGGCTTGGCCCCGCCCTGCCCGTCCAGGCAGAACCCTCAGCCCAGGGAGGGTGACGAGGTCCAGGCAGCACAGGTGGGTTCCAGGCCACCCTTCCTTCCCGGGGTCTCAGGCCAGGGGGGTCGGGTCCTCGCGCACCAACAGAGCCCCGCGGCTCGGTTCCGGCCCTGGCCCCCTGCGCCCCGTAAGCTAGGGCACCGGCCCTGCTCCTCTGGGACCCCAGCCTGCCTGCAGACAAGGGGCTGGTGTGGTGTGTGCCCCTGCGTCCACCTCAGGAGAAGCAGCAGCCAGACCTTTGGCGGTGTCCCCACCTGGTCTGCGTTTCCCCTCCCTGGCTCCAGGGCTGCCGGCTGCTGGGAGAACAGAGGGGGCACTTACATTTGTGTGCGTGTGAGTGTATGTGCGAGTGTGAGTGTGTAACTGTGTGTAGGTATGTATCTGTGTACATGTATGTATTTCTGTGTGTATCTCTGGGATTTTTAAACATTTGTTTTTATTGATTTTTTTTAAAGAGAGGGGAAGGGAGAGAAACATCGATGGGAGAGAGAACATCCATCAGCTGCCTCCTATTGGGGATCCAGCCCATATCCTGGGCATGTGCCCTGACTGGGAACAGAACCGCGACCTCTCCATGGGCCGACGCTCAACCACTGAGCCACGCTGGCCAGGCGTGTCTGGAGCTTTTTATAATTGTTTTGAAAAATGTTGCTTGTAGTAAACTAGAGATAATACAGCTTGGTGGCTTTAAGTACACTCACGCTGTCCTGCAACCATCCCCACCGTCACCTCCAGGACTGTCTGTCTCCCAAACTGATGCTCTGTCCCCATGCAGCACAGACCCCTCCCCCGGACTGTCTGTCTCCCAAACTGATGCTCTGTCCCCATGCAGCGCAGACCCCTCCCCCGGCCCCCAACACCCACCTTACTCTCTACTGTGACTCTGACCCCTGGGGCCCTCCTGTGAGTGGGTCACGCAGGGTCTGCCCTTCTGTGACTCTTTTTCTCAGCACAGTGTCCCCAAGGTGCGTCCACGTTGCAGCAGGCGTCAGCACGTCCTTTTTTTTTATGCTCACCCGAGGACATTTTTTGTTCAGATGGAGTTGGGGGGAGAGAGAGGAAGAGACAGAGAGAGAAACATCAACATGAAAGGGACACATCGAGTGGCTGCCACCCGCACGACCAACCAGGGCCGGGGACAAACTGCAACCGAGGTACGCGCCCTTAGCGGGAACCGAACCCGGGTCTCTCCAGACCGCAGGCCGACGCCCTGACCGCTGAGCCACACCGGCCAGGGCAGCACGTCCTTTTTAAGGCCGAGTAGGGTTCCACTGTGTGGGTGGACCCCGTTTTGCATGTCCCTTTATCTGTCCCCGGACACTTGGGTCATTGCTTTTTTTTTTTTAAGATAAGGAGTTTACTGCATAAAAACATTGACGGTGGGTATGTTCTTTCACAACCCGATAAACAAACGTCAAGAGACAGCGTGGTTCCCGGTTCGGACTCCGTGGGTTCAGCCAGGGGGTTCTTTCCTCAGCACCTTCTGTGTGCGGGCCGCACGGCTGGGGAGCCGGGGTGGAGGCCCGGGCACAGCGAGTCCCTGCCGTCCTGAGTTTAGGCTCCGGGGGGACAGCTGCCAGGCACAGCCAGTGGGTCTGCGACCTGCCGGAGGCTGCGGGGAAAGGAAGGGAGCAGCGCTCTGTACACCCCAGGTTCTGACGAGCGTCTTAGGGCCGCTGTGCCGGGCACAGCTTGGAAAGAGATGCAAACCTAACACGTGTGTGTGTGTGTGTGTGTGCACGCACGTACATGTATATACATTATATACTGCAGTGAAATCAAATGAACAGAACCACTGTGCGTGCACAGCCCGGTGGCATTCGGTGCGTCCGCGGCGTTGCGCGACCGCCTCCGCATCTAGTCCCAGAACAACCCCATCGCCCAGCCTGAAGCCCGCCGTCCCCTCCCCAGACCTGCCGGTTCTGGACGGTCCCCGCTCCCTCACCCACTGACTGTTCGGAGATCCGCCCACGGGGCGTGTGCCAGCACCTCGCTCCTTTTCGGGGCTGAGTACTACTCCCCAGCGCGCCCCGCGCACGTGGCCTGTCCGAGCCTCCGAGAGCACGTTCGCGCGGCTCCCGCCCGCAGCTCTCGGGAGGCGCTGCCCTGGATGCGTGGGCGCCGCTGGCAGAGCCGCGTCCGATTCCTTGTGGTGCTGGTGGAGGGGCCGCGCGTGGCTGCGCGCTCCCCGCTCCCGTGTCGCCCCGGCCGTGCACGGATGCCCCTTCCCCCGCCCCTCGGTCTCCCCGCTGTCCTGTCCGCCCCCGGCCCTGCACCCTGCACTGAGGCCCCTCCCCCGCACCTCGGTCTCCCCGCTGCCCTGTCCACCCCCGGCCCTGCACTGAGGCCCCTCCCCCGCCCCTCGGTCTCCCCGCTGCCCTGTCCACCCCCGGCCCTGCACTGAGGCCCCTCCCCCGCCCCTCGGTCTCCCCACTGCCCTGCCCGCCCCTGCACTGAGGCCCCTCCCCCGCCCCTCGGTCTCCCCGCTGCCCTGTCCACCCCCGGCCTTGCACCGATGCCCCTCCCCCGCACCTGGGTCTCTCTTGCAGGCAGAGTACAGGCTGTGCAATGGGTCTGACAAGGAATGTGTGTCCCCAACGGCCAAGGTTACCAAGAAGGAAACTCTCAAGGTGGGCACGGACCTGGGGAGGGGCTGAGTGTGTCCTTGGGCGAATGAGTGGGCACCTGGGCCGTGAGGCCAACACCCCCCAGCCCAAGGGAAGGAACAGACCACGCCCCGGCTACCTCCACACCCCCGCCCTCTCCGCTCCCGCTGTCCTTGCCCCGTGGGCGGCAGGAGCCCGGTGCCGCCCGGCCTTTCCCCCCTGACTGCCCGCCCGGTGCCCCGAGCAGGTGCAGAAGGAGAACTACCGGCAGGAGAAGAAACGGGCCACGAAACAGCTGCTCAGCGCCCTGACGGACCCCCGCGTGGTCATCATGGCCGACAGCCTGAAGGTAGGTGCCAACCACGGGGCATCCGGCCTCCGCCCGGTTCACTCGGGAGGCCTCCCCAAGGTCCGCACCAGCCCCCGGGACGGTCAGCGTTGTCACTGCACACCTGTGTCCATGCCTGGGGCTGCCCCGACATGACCGCAGGCTGGTGGCTTCGAAAGGAGAATCTATTGTCTCCCGGTTCTGAGGCCGAGGCCCAACACCAGGGTGCCCCCAAGGTCCCGGGTTGCCCTTCTGCCTCTCCCAGTTCCGGGAAACCGGGGTTCCTGGGCTTGTGGCCGCACCCCTCCATCCTCTGCCTACTCTCCTCTCGGGCCTCTGTCCTGCTCTCTTACGAGGACGAGTCACGGGTGGGCCACCGCCGTGGGTGGGCTTGTACCTCTGCAAAGGCCCACGCCCGACTGAGGCTGGGTGAGGGCCCTGCTGGGGTCCCCGGGCGCCGTGGAGTCCCCTCCGCGGCACAGAAGAGTGGAGGTGAAACGGGTTCTGTGGGAAAGGACCAGGTTGGGGTCCGAGGCCTGTGTCAGACCTCACCGAGGCCGTGGATGGGGGCTCCCAGGATGAGCCAACCGGACGAGTGTACCGGGAGCCTGGCCGCCCGCAGGCCCTGGGCCTCCTTTTCCGTGTCCACAAAATGCCAGATAAAAAGTTAGGTACAGAGGGGAGTATGTGTCGCGCATGAGCAAAGGAACGACGTAGCAGTGTGCGAGGCTGGCCCTGAACCTGAACTTCATGAACTGCAGTACCTCTGCTCCTGGCGACAGCGCATCTCGCTGGGCTCGCTGCCACTCGTGAGCTCCTTTTAGAAGCTGAGTCGCCGCGGGTGCGGCTCAGTGGTTGAGCGTCGACCCTGCACCAAGAGGTCGCCGGTTCGATTCCCGATCAGGGCACAGGCCCAGGTTGTGGGCCAGGTCCCCAGTGGGGGGCGTGCAGAAGGCAGCCCATTGAGCTCTCTCATCGATGTTTCTATCTCTCTCTCCCTCTCCCTCTAAAATCAGTAAAGAAAAAAAAATTTTTTTTAAGTGTAAAGAGACCTCTACCCCCAGTCCAGAGTCCCACCTGCTCCGCCTCCCGGCCCTGATGCACTGCCCCCCGCAGATCCGAGGGACCCTGAAGAGCTGGGCCAAGCTGTGGTGCGTGCTGAAGCCTGGGGTGCTGCTCATCTACAAGACGCCCAAGGCGGGCCAGTGGGTGGGCACGGTCCTCCTGCACTGCTGCCAGCTCATCGAGCGGCCGTCCAAGAAGGACGGCTTCTGCTTCAAGCTCTTCCACCCGCTGGACCAGTCCATCTGGGCCGTGAAGGTACCTCTGCGGGCCGGCGGCCGTGCCCACGGGACTGCCGGTGGGCAGGGGGCTTCTCCTGGGCCCCGCTGAAGGGGTCTCGGAGTGAGAGTCTGTCCCACGCTGGCTCTCACTGCCCCCCGGGGGGGGGGGGCTGGGTTAGTCTCTCAGTGGCCGGGTGACCCGTCTGGTCCCTGACCCTCCAGGCGAAGCACATGGGGGGCTCAGGCCTGGTGAGACCGTAGGGTCAAGGCGGAGGGATGGGGCACGTGAATGGCTGCTCCCTAGCCCAGACCCCACCCCTGCCCAGGACGTCCCTGGGTCAGGTTGCCAGATCACATCCAGCCCTGGCCGGTTTGGCTCAGCGGTTAGAGCGTCGCCCTTCGGACCGAGGAGTCGTGGGTTCGATGCAGGTCAGGGGCACGTACCTCAGTGGCAGTTCGGCCCCTGGCCCTGGTCGGGGTCGTGTGGGAGGCAACCCGTCGGTGTGTCTGTCTCCCATCGATGTCTCTCTCTCCCTCTCGTCTCTCGACACCTCTCTCCCACCCTAAGTGGAAGTAAATGGAAAACTGTCCTCGGGTGAGGATTTCCCAGTAGATGAACAAACCCAGCGTGCGCGGTTAAAGGGCTTCGGAGAGACAGCACAGAGACACGTCAGCGTCAGGTGGTCCCAGTACCGCACAGGACACACCGACACTTTGCAGAAGGGGATTTGTCACTTCTCTGAGGTTCTCACTGAACCAGGCGTCCTGGGTTTGCATCCCCTGATTCTGGCCACCCTACATTGGGGAGCCCAGAGCTGTCGAGCCTAAGACGGGCCCCCAGCTAAGGCGGGGGACAGCGAGCTCCCCGCCCGTTCTTTCTTGCCGCCCGCCTTTTGCGTGGCCGGGTGCCTGGCCCTGCCCCGAGATCCTGAGGCCTGGAAGGGCCCGCGTGTGTCCGACTGGCTCTGAAGGGCTTCTCTGTGTTCCCACCTGGCCCTGGGTGTCCCCGGGGGTGACAGCCGTCTCTGCCTCCCAGGGCCCCAAAGGCGAGAGTGTGGGCTCCATCACGCAGCCCCTCCCCAGCAGCTACCTGATCTTCAGAGCGGCTTCGGAGTCCGACGGTGAGTCCCCACCTGCACTGCAGCCCTTCCGGCGGCCGCTCTAACGCAGCCCCGCCCAGGGTCTGGACCAGTGCACCTGGGAGCAGCCCAGGCCTCGCCCTGCTAGCACCTCCCTGAGCCCGTTACCCTGGGGCAGAACGCGAGTGACAACACCTGCCTCCCAGTTGTTAGGAGAATTCGATAACCCATCTAAAGCCGCCAGGCACCCCGAATCAATAGATTCTGCTGTTACCTACGTTGGACACCTGAGCCCAGGTGGGGGTGCGAACTCCCCCTCCCTAATGCATCCCGCGTCGTTGGAGCGCCCTCCAGTGGCTGCTCCGAGTAAAGCACCTGCCGCCCCACCAAGCTCTAAGGGCAGGCACCGCCTTGGGGATGCGGGTGAAGGGTCCCGCTCCCACCAGCGCTCCAGGGCGGACAGGGCCCTGCCCAGGGCAGCGTGGCCGCACCGCTGGGCTCTGGCCCTCGGGCTGGGAGCTTTGCGCCAGCGACGTGCCTGGTGGTGCCACGGCGCCCCCTGGTGGTCAGGCGCCGCATGCGCGCTCCCGGGAGAGTTGCACCCTCATTCCCCCAGCCCCTGCCCTGTGCCCCACCCCCGTGTGCCCTTGGCTGGACTGGGGTATCCAATGCAGCCTTACAAAGGGGAGTGACGAGGAGCGGGCTATCAGACCCGGAGGATCTGTTGGGACAGGGAGGGGCAGGTCAGCGACCCGGTGGGGATGGCAAGTATGAGGGGTGACCGGCTCCCGGACTTGCAGGTTGGGGGTCCTGGAAGGGTAAGGACAGGGGGAGTTTCCTGGTGGGGAGGCGAGGGGACTCTGGTGGGGACAGGCAGCGGTAAAGGGTGGGTTCCTCTTGTAGGGGAGCAGGAGGGGCCGCCCTAGTGGGGAAGGGCAGGGCGGGCGGGTCACACCCACGGTCCCCCCAGGCCGCTGCTGGCTGGACGCCCTGGAGCTGGCCCTACGCTGCTCCAGCCTCCTGCGGCTCAGCGCGTGCAAGCAGGGCTGCGACCAGGAGCCCGGGTCCTCGCCCGACGGGTCGCCCTCCTCGCTCTGTGGGCTGCCCCCCTCGGCTACCATCCACGACCAGGACCTGTTCCCGTGAGTCCCCCCGGGGGTCCTGAGCTCCTGCCTCCGGGGACCCCCTCCCTGGCCCCTGGCTCTCACTGGCACTGTCACGAGGGTGTCCTTGTATGGGTGGGGAAGTGGACCGAACCCCCACTCCAGTGAACCCGGGAGCCTGAGTTTCCTCATCTGCTAAGGAGGCTAATAGTACCCTGCTGGCTGCTCAGGCGCCTAAGCCCAGGGAGGGGTGAGGAGGTGGGGGTGCGGGCCTCCTGTGACCGACACCCCGGTGCCTGCTCCCAGGCTGAACGGGCCCACGCCGGAGCACGATGCTTTCTCCGACAAGGAGCGAGAGGTCGGGGAGGAGTCAGACGAGACCCAGGACCTCAGCCAGAAGACCCACGAGAGCGGGAGTGACCTGTCCGAGGCCCCTGGGGCTCCGGCCCCTCGAGGGACCACGTACGTGGAGCAAGTCCATGAGGAGCTGGGGGAGGTGAGCGCCGCCCAGCCTGAGACCCGGTCACCTGTTCCTGTCCACTCCCCTGAGGTTGCCTGGTGTCCCCTGAAGGACAGCTCACAGGGCGAAGGTGTGGACATTCGGGCATGGAGCCAGCAGCCTGAGGTGTCTGCGGCCTGGGCACCCCCGTCTTCAGAGGCTGAGCCCAGATGGGCTCCACAGAGGAGCCCGGGAGCGCGGAGGGGAACCCAGAGGGCAAGGGTCAGGGGGCAGCTGTGCGGAGGGGGCAGCAGGAGAGGGTGGTGCAGGGTTGTGACGGGGTGGTGACCTTCACCAGGGTCTCTCAGTGGCGTGGGGGGCAGGGCTCTCAGCTGTGGCTGCCGCGGTGTGAGCCCCAAAGGTGACCTGGAATTTGAGGCCAAGGAGCCACAGCCTCATGGGGGACAGGCATGGCCCATTGTCCAGGGCCCCCCTGTCCCCTCCGGGGGCGTAGTTCCAGTGAGGGCCGCTAGGCCTTGGCCACAGCTGCACAGCGAGGCCGAGTGACCGGTCTGAGGCAGCCCAGCAGGGCGTGCTGGACGCCAGGGCAGGGCTGCTGCCATCTGGGGGAGTCACTTGGCCCCTCTTCAAGTGGGGTGACCAGGATGGTGGTGCCTGGGGCTGCGAGGAGGAGTCTAGGAAGAAGGGAGAGGGGCTCCCCTGTGGCCAGACACCCACGGGCCTGGGGCCTCCCCGTCCCCAGAATCCTGCTCGGGCCTCCTGGAGGCCAGGGACTGGGGGAGCCCAGACAAGGCAGCCACACTCCAGGCTGGATGCTGGGAGCCCCAGAGGGCCCAGCAGTGAAGACTGGGGCCCAAGAAGTACCAAGGTGTTGGCCCAGGTGGGGCCTCCTGCTGGGACTTCCTGTCCTGGACCCGCCCCTCGGAGATGGCCCCGCCTCCGGCTTTCTGAGCTCGGTCTGCCCACCTGAGGGTTTGCTGGGTGGTGGGGAGTGGGCCGTGGAGCGCCCCGTCCCGTCCCCCACCCAGGCTCCAAGGCGCCGTCTCAGGGAAGACGGGAGTGTCCCAGGTGGCCCCACCTCCAGCCGTGTGACCTTGGGCGAGTGAGGGCTCCTCTCTGAAGGAGGAACAGGCCCAAAGCACCACAGCCAGGACTGTTTCGTGGCCTGAACGGGGGTGTCCCTGTGCGGACGGCACTGCCCGCCCTGGCCCGGAGCCGTGCAGTCTCCCGATGGGGTTCAGCAGCCAGGACGGGGAGGCTCCACCCGGAACTGAGTGGGGCCAGGAGGGGAGGCAGGCGGGGCCAGGCCGGGGGTCCAGCCGCCCCACCTCCCATCACCCCTTCTCCAGCCAGAGCCTGCCTGTGCCCAGCCGCCCGCCCCCCTGGGCGGCTCCGCACTGGGGGCCTGACCGGGCCCCTCTGCCGGCAGCTGGGCGAGGCGTCCCAGGTGGAGACCGTGTCCGAGGAGAACAAGGGCCTGATATGGGTGCTGCTGAGGCAGCTGCGGCCGGGCATGGACCTGTCCCGGGTGGTCCTGCCCACGTTCGTGCTGGAACCTCGGTCCTTCCTCAGCAGGCTCTCCGACCACTACTGCCACGCCGACCTGCTCTCCCGGTGAGCCCAGAGCCCGGCCCGCCCGGTGTCCGGAGGGTCCCCGGGGCCCCTGCCCAGCCTCCGAGGAGACCCAGGTGCACCCCAGGAGGAGCTGGCGGAGAGGGGGGGTCGAGGCCGCTTCGGACGTCAGGGCCCGGGCCAGCGAGGGTGAGCGCGGGTGGGCTCCGTCCTGAGCACCCGTGCGCCCTCAGCCCCAGCGCTGGTGACCTGAGCAGGGGAGGGAGCTGGGGAGGGGGAAGCCATCGGGGGCACGGAGGGGGTGGCCCAGGGCCCTGGTCTGGACTGAGGGAGCTCCTGCTGTCTGTCCGTCCAGGGCCGCACTGGAGGAAGACGCCTACGGCCGCATGAAGCTCGTGCTGAGGTGGTACCTGTCTGGCTTCTACAAGAAGCCCAAGGTGAGGGCGGGCGGGAGGCCCACCAGCCGGTCCCTGGCACCCACCCCATGGCCGGGGCATCCCCTTCCACACGGCCGTGAAGGATCTCCCCCACAGTGGCCGCAGGCACGCAGAGATGAGCTGCAGGCCCTGACTGGCTGCTGGGGGCCCTGGCCTGCTCAGGCCCCCAGAGAGGCCCCTGCCCCTCCAGGAAGCAGCCGCCAGACAGTGCGGGCAGCAGAGGGGCTTTCCATCCTGGACCTCAGGGCGCCCGTGGGACCCTGGCTCAGTCGTGGAGCCCCTTTTGAGAGCCCCAAACTCAGGCTCAGACTGGCACAGGGCAGCTCTGGTTGTGGTGACGGGAGGGTCTCCATTCCTGCCCAGGACCCCGACCCTGCCACTGAGCACATGGGCTGTTGGGGCAGAGGAGGCACTCCGGGAGGACTTCTCGGAGGAGGAGGCCATCCCTAAGGCTGTCTAGGACAGGACAGTGGGGTGAACCGGGGTCGGTTCAGAATGGGTCTGGGAGGCGTGGCAGAGGAGGAACAGACAAGAGGCAGCAGCAGGGGGTTCTGCGTGACAGTTGTCCCTCATGAAGCCCAGTCTGCAGGGCGAGGCTTATAGCAACAGACAGAAGTGATGGAGGGGGGTGTGAGGGGCACCCGTCACTGCTGATCAGATCAGGGGTCCGCGCTGGACCACACGAAGACCCAGAAGGAGGGCTCTCCGGCCTGGAGAAGGGTCCCCCTGCCCTGGGGAAGAACTTGGGCCGTTTGGGGAGCACCAAGGTGGCCCACAAGGCTGAAGCAGGGGAAGGGAGGGGCAGGCCGGGGGAGTCGCAGACACTGGGAGAGGGGGACCTGGTCAGGATCTTGGGTCCCCCTCGGAACCAAGAAGTGGACAGACACCATGGGCAAAGTGTAGTGTCCCCAAAGCAGAAGGAGGGGCTGCTCCCAGATGCTGACAGCAAGCCAGCTGTCCCTTCTGGAGACCTCTGCCCGGAGGGACTCAGGGCCACAGGCAGGGAGCAGCCCCCCCTTGTCCCGGGGTCCACTCCCTCCCTCCCTCACGGGGCTCTCTGCTGGCCGCCTGCAGGGCATCAAGAAGCCCTACAACCCTATCCTGGGGGAGACCTTCCGCTGCAGCTGGTACCACCCCCAGACCAACAGCTTCACCTTCTACATCGCGGAGCAGGCAAGGGCTGGGGGTGCGGAGGGAGTGGGGTCACAGGCAGTGGGCAGGGGCTCGGCCCCCAGTGCACGTCTCCTGGTCGCCCTGTCTCTACCCACTGGGGGTGCTCTGGGGCTCAGTTCCGCCGACTCCCCCAGGAGGTCAGGCTCGGCGCCTGACTGTCAGCAGGACGTTGTGGGGGGGGGCGCGATCCCCGCACTCGGCCGATAGGGGACTGCAGTGTGCTCCTCCGCCCGGGATCAGACCCGGCTTCCCTGGGCATCAGTGAGGACGCGGGGTGTGAGGTGGGGGCAGGGCAGCCGGCTCTGCCTTCCCCGGGCTGCCCACTGCTGGGGCTGTTGCTGGAGCCGCCTCTGTGCCCACAGGTGTCCCACCACCCACCAGTATCCGCCTTCCACGTCAGCAACCGGAAGGACGGCTTCTGCATTAGCGGCAGCATCACAGCCAAGTCCCGGTTCTATGGTGAGGGCGCCCTGGCCCGGGTGGGGGCTGGGGGAGGACCGGGCTCCCGGTTCCGTGGCCACCAGGACGGCGCGTGGTGGTGGTCGCTGTGTCTCCCGCCTCCTACTCAGGGATCATGTGGGTGGGAAGTGCTCAGTACCTGGCAGGGACCCCCTCCCACGCGCAGGGACCCCCTCCCACGCGCAGGGACCCCCCTCCCACGCGCAGGGCCCCCCCACGCGCAGGGACCCCCCCACGCGCAGGGACCCCCCCTCCCACGCGCGGGGACCCCCCTCCCACGCGCAGGGACCCCCCCCACGCGCAGGGACCCCCCCACGCGCAGGGACCCCCCACGCGCAGGGACCCCCCCTCCCAGGCGCAGGGACCCCCCTCCCACGCGCAGGGACCCCCCCCACGCGCAGGGACCCCCCCACGCGCAGGGACCCCCCCCCCACGCGCAGAGACGCTATGATAAGCACGAGGAAGAAGCTGGTGGAAAGTGCCGTCCAGAGCTGGGCTGTCCAGTGGGCACCACTGGCCTCACGTGCTATTTCAATCGGTGGAAATGACCATGGAACTTAGATGCAGCTTCCTAGCTGCAGGAGAGCCACACCCCAAGGGTGCAGACCACAGCTGGCTGGCGACCACAGTCAGAAGGCACAGGACAGAATAGCTCTGGCACCGCGGGCGCTCAGAGAACGTCTGATGGCCTTCTCTGCCCGGTTACCCTGGTTACCACCTTGGGGGGCAGGTGTGCTCTGCACCTCTGTGTGCCCCGAGTCTGCGAGGGCGCACAGGGAGGTCCGCCGCACCTGCACCCTGCACTCCCCTACTGCCTGCGGCTGCCACCCTCAGTCCAGAGCCCCCTACCTGGAGCTGGGGCTCAGGCTAGTTAGAAAGGTCACAGCCTCCACCCTGGGAACCTCCGCTCTGGAAATAAACATGAATACCTGGCGAGTTAAGGACCCCTCGGGACCCAGGCGTGTGTGACCCGGACCGGGCTCTTACAGAATGGGAGGTGCAGAGAGGTTAGGTGACCCACCCACAGCCACACAGCTGGGGACTGCTCCCACCTGTTGGAAGCGAGCCCAGACCCTGTGAGTTGGGTGGTGGCCCCCAGGTTCCGAGGTCCTCCACTCACAGGCCCCCTGCCCTGTCTCCGCAGGCAACTCACTGTCAGCTCTGCTGGAGGGCAAGGCCACACTCACCTTCCTGGACCGGGCGGAGGACTACACCCTCACCATGCCCTACGCCCACTGCAAAGGTGAGATCCGGTCCCCGCCCCCCGCGCAGCCCGGGCTGCCCCTCAGCGAAGGCGGCTGGGTGCTGAACACTGCTCCTGGGTGGTTTGGAGGCATCTTATTTTTCCCTTACTCCTTAATGACTTGGGAGCCGCAGACAGAGGGTGACTCTTTTCCCTCCTCTGGAAACTGGGATGGCCCCTGACTTTCACTGTGGTTGGTAGCAGTCGGCTGGCAGCCGGTTTGTGACAACGATGGGCTTTTCTCTGTAGCTGCTGGGAAGACCTTCTCTTGTCTTTGGTGTTCTGTAATCTCACCCTCGTAGGTCAGGGTTTGGGTTCTTGTATTGTTCAGTGGATGAACTTCATTTGTTGTTGTTACCCCTCACCTGAGGATACTATTTCCATTGCATTTTAGAGAGAGGAAGGGAGGGAGGGAGAGAGAGAGAAACATGGATGTGAGAGGGACACATTGATTGGTTGCCTCCTGCATGCACCCCAACCAGGGCTGGAGATCGAACCTGTAATCCAGGTACGTGCTCTTAACTGGGGATCAAGCCCAAGACTTCAGTGAGCAGGCTGATGCTCTAACCACTGAGCCACACCGGCCAGGGCTGGACTTCATGGCAGTTTTAGGGTTACAAAAAAAGTAAGCAGAGCCCGGCCGGTGTGGCTCAGTGGTTGAGTGTCGACCGATGCACCAAGAGGTTGCCAGTTCAATTCCCGGTCAGGGCACATGTCCAGGTTGTGGGCTGATCCCCAGTGGGGAGCATGCAGGAGGCGGCCGATCAGTGTTCTCCCTCATCAATGTTTCCATCTCTCCCTCTCCCTTCCTCTGTCTCTAAGATCAATAAAGAAAAAAAAATTAAGCAGGAAGTACAGAGTCCCCATGTGTCCCTCCCCCACCACATAAGGGCCCCTCCCCCACCACATAAGGACCCCTCCCCATCATTGCCACTTTGCATTAGTGCGTGTGAGCCAATATTGATACATTGTTATTAGTGAAAGGCCACAGTTGACATCAAGGTTCACCCTTTGTCTTGTACTTTCTGTGGGTTTGGACAAACGCATAATGTTACATTTCTACCATCATAGGGTCACAGAGCAGTTTCGCTGCCCTGAAGATCTATTCTGGTCAGATTGGAGAGATGGCTCCCCTGTCCCCTTGCCCGGGACAAGGGCTGATCTTGTCTGTCTCCATAGTTTCGCCTTTTTCAGAAAGTCTGGGAGTTGGGAACAGAGTGTGTGGCGCTCAGACTGGCTCCTGGGCCTCAGCGGTGTGCGTTGACTCCCTCCGGGCCGTTGGGTGCCTCCCAGCCCTGGGTTTCTCTTCTGTTTTTGCTGTCTGAGAGTTTTTGTTTGCTTGAACGTTTTAAATCTTTATTTATTGATTTTGGAGACAGAGAGAAAGAAATGTCGATTTGCTGACCCACTTATGCGTTCATGGGTTGATTCTGGTGTGTGCCCTGACCGGGGATCGAACCCACAACCTTGGCGTATCAGGACGACTCTCCAGCCAACTGAGCCACCGGCCGGGGCTTCTTTGAACTTTTGAATGGCTCTGATCAAGTCTAGACATTTTGTTGCCACTATTATTTTAATACTGCTTCACTGTTTCTTCACTTTTTTTAGAATTCCATTGACTATTAGGCCGTGCTGCTCCTACCTGTCACCTCTGCATCCAGGGTCCAGGGCCACCTCAGTCTGTGCTCCCGAGCGCCATGGTGCAGGCTGGCGTGTGTGTCCCTAAAAATTCTACTTGGTTCCGTTTCAAACCTGCCTGATCTTTTCATGCTGGTACCTTGTTCCTTCACCACATCTGGGATTAGTCTTCTCAATCTGTAAACATTGTGAATGAGATTGTTTCGCATTTTTCCGCCTAGTGATTCTCCTAGTCCGCCCGGCGATCCTCCTAGTCCGCCCGGTGATTCATCCTCCTAGTCCGCCCGGCGATCCTCCTAGTCCGCCCGGTGATCCTCCTAGTCCGCCCGGTGGTTCATCCTCCTAGTCCGCCTGGAGATCCTCCTAGTCCGCCCGGTGATCCTCCTGGTCCGCCCGGTGACTCATCCTCCTAGTCCGCCCGGCGATCCTCCTAGTCCGCCCGGTGATCCTCCTAGTCCGCCCGGTGGTTCATCCTCCTAGTCCGCCCGGCGATCCTCCTGGTCCGCCCGGTGATTCATCCTCCTAGTCCGCCCGGCGATCCTCCTGGTCCGCCCGGTGATTCATCCTAGTCCGCCCGGTGATTCATCCTCCTAGTCCGCCCGGCGATCCTCCTGGTCCGCCCGGTGATTCATCCTAGTCCGCCCGGTGATTCATCCTCCTAGTCCGCCTGGCGATCCTCCTGGTCCGCCCGGTGATTCATCCTCCTGGTCCGCCCGGCGATCCTCCTGGTCCGCCTGGCGATCCTCCTGGTCCGCCCGGTGATTCATCCTAGTCCACCCGGTGATTCATCCTCCTAGTCCGCCCGGCGATCCTCCTGGTCCGCCCGGTGATTCATCCTCCTAGTCCGCCCGGCGATCCTCCTGGTCCGCCCGGTGATTCATCCTCCTAGTCCGCCCGGCGATCCTCCTGGTCCGCCCGGTGATTCATCCTAGTCCGCCCGGTGATTCATCCTCCTAGTCCGCCTGGCGATCCTCCTGGTCCGCCCGGTGATTCATCCTCCTGGTCCGCCCGGCGATCCTCCTGGTCCGCCTGGCGATCCTCCTGGTCCGCCCGGTGATTCATCCTAGTCCGCCCGGTGATTCATCCTCCTAGTCCGCCTGGCGATCCTCCTGGTCCGCCCGGTGATTCATCCTCCTAGTCCGCCTGGCGATCCTCCTGGTCCGCCCGGTGATTCATCCTCCTAGTCCGCCCGGCGATCCTCCTGGTCCGCCTGGCGATCCTCCTGGTCCGCCCGGTGATTCATCCTCCTGGTCCGCCCGGCGATCCTCCTGGTCCGCCTGGCGATCCTCCTGGTCCGCCCGGTGATTCATCCTCCTGGTCCGCCCGGCGATCCTCCTGGTCCGCCTGGCGATCCTCCTGGTCCGCCCGGTGATTCATCCTAGTCCACCCGGTGATTCATCCTCCTAGTCCGCCTGGCGATCCTCCTGGTCCGCCCGGTGATTCATCCTCCTAGTCCGCCTGGCGATCCTCCTGGTCCGCCCGGTGATTCATCCTAGTCCGCCCGGTGATTCATCCTCCTAGTCCGCCTGGCGATCCTCCTGGTCCGCCCGGTGTCATCCTCCTAGTCCGCCTGGCGATCCTCCTGGTCCGCCCGGTGATTCATCCTAGTCCACCCGGTGATTCATCCTCCTAGTCCGCCTGGCGATCCTCCTGGTCCGCCCGGTGATTCATCCTAGTCCACCCGGTGATTCATCCTCCTAGTCCGCCCGGCGATCCTCCTGGTCCGCCCGGTGATTCATCCTCCTAGTCCGCCCGCGATCCTCCTGGTCCGCCCGGCGATTCATCCTAGTCCGCCCGGTGATTCATCCTCCTAGTCCGCCTGGCGATCCTCCTGGTCCGCCCGGTGATTCATCCTCCTAGTCCGCCCGGCGATCCTCCTAGTCCGCCCGGTGATTCATCCTCCTAGTCCGCCCGGCGATCCTCCTGGTCCGCCCGGCGATTCTCCTGGTCCGCCCGGCGATTCATCCTGGTCCGCCCGGTGATTCATCCTCCTAGTCCGCCCGGCGATCCTCCTGGTCCGCCCGGCGATTCTCCTGGTCCGCCCGGCGATTCATCCTCCTAGTCCACCCGGCGATCCTCCTGGTCCGCCCGGTGATTCATCCTCCTAGTCCGCCCGGCGATCCTCCTGGTCCGCCCGGCGATTCTCCTGGTCCGCCCGGCGATTCATCCTCCTAGTCCACCCGGCGATCCTCCTGGTCCGCCCGGTGATTCATCCTCCTAGTCCACCCGGCGATCCTCCTGGTCCGCCCGGTGATTCATCCTCCTAGTCCACCCGGCGATCCTCCTGGTCCGCCCGGCGATTCTCCTGGTCCGCCCGGCGATTCTCCTGGTCCGCCCGGTGATTCATCCTCCTAGTCCACCCGGCGATCCTCCTGGTCCGCCCGGTGATTCATCCTCCTAGTCCACCCGGCGATCCTCCTGGTCCGCCCGGTGATTCATCCTCCTAGTCCACCCGGCGATCCTCCTAGTCCGCCCGGCGATCCTCCTGGTCCGCCCGGCGATTCTCCTGGTCCGCCCGGTGATTCATCCTCCTAGTCCACCCGGCGATCCTCCTGGTCCGCCCGGCGATTCTCCTGGTCCGCCCGGTGATTCATCCTCCTAGTCCGCCCGGCGATCCTCCTGGTCCGCCCGGTGATTCATCCTCCTAGTCCGCCCGGCGATCCTCCTGGTCCGCCCGGCGATTCTCCTGGTCCGCCCGGCGATTCATCCTCCTAGTCCACCCGGCGATCCTCCTGGTCCGCCCGGTGATTCATCCTCCTAGTCCGCCTGGCGATCCTCCTGGTCCGCCCGGTGATTCATCCTAGTCCGCCCGGTGAGTCATCCTCCTAGTCCGCCCGGCGATCCTCCTGGTCCGCCCGGCGATTCTCCTGGTCCGCCCGGCGATTCATCCTCCTAGTCCACCCGGCGATCCTCCTGGTCCGCCCGGTGATTCATCCTCCTAGTCCACCCGGCGATCCTCCTGGTCCGCCCGGTGATTCATCCTCCTAGTCCGCCTGGCGATCCTCCTGGTCCGCCCGGTGATTCATCCTCCTAGTCCGCCTGGCGATCCTCCTGGTCCCGGCCCGGGATTCTCCTGGTCCGCCCGGTGATTCCATCCTCCTAGTCCGCCTGGCGATCCTCCTGGTCCGCCCGGTGATTCATCCTCCTAGTCCGCCCGCGATCCGCCTGGTCGCCCGTGATCATCCTCCAGTCCGCCTGGCGATCCTCCTGGTCCGCCCGGTGATTCATCCTCCTAGTCGCCCGGCGATCCTCCTGGTCCGCCCGGTGATCATCCTCCTAGTCCGCCCGGCGATCCTCCTGGTCCGCCCGGTGATTCATCCTCCTAGTCCGCCCGGCGATCCCTCCTGGTCCGCCCGGTGATT